AGTCAGAGATAGAGAGATGGAGAGACAATTGTGTGTGTGTGTGTGAGAGAGAGAGAAAGACAGAAAGACGGAGACAGACTGAAAGAGACAGGGACAAAGAGACAGAGAAAGAGAGAGAGAGAAGTGAGACAGAGGGAGATGGATAAAGAGACAGAGAGAGAACTAGAAAAAGGGATACAGAGACAGAGAAATAACAGTGAGAAGACAGAAACAGAAAGAGGGAGACGGAGAGAGAGCGGGACAGAGATAGAGAGCGAGATAGATAGATAGAGAGAGAGAGGGAGGGTAGAGTCGGGGAGAGAAACACACAGAGTTACAGAGAGATAAGTTGTAAAATGAGGGAGTTGGTATGAATATTTCCTCCGCTTTATTTTTGATCTTGAGGTTTTTCTATCTCTCTCTGTCTACCAGCACCAAGCGCTCCAAACCCCCCAACCCCCCCCCCCCTGAGGCGACTCTTTTCGTGTTTATATATATATAAAAAAAGAAACTCTCTGAGTTTTGATGCGAATGCAATATCCATCTCACATCACGTGCGTAAGCCCAGCTAGCGCTCGGTTTGTGCGTCATTCCTCGATGCATTATTTCTTGAGTGAAGTGTGTGTCTGTGTGTGTGTGTGTGTTTGTGTCTGTGTCTCTTTCGCTCTCCGCCAGGGCTGTACACACCCATACAGCAACCCACATCCCTTCCCCCAACTCCCACCCCACACACACACACACACACACACACACACAAACATACAGAGAGAGAGAGAGACGGGGCAAGGGGGCTTGGTTGGATAGCGGAGCATGTATGACAGTCTTAACCTGGGAAAATTTTCCTGGCAGTATCAGGATAAGGGTCTCGGGGAGCGGGGAGGCGGCGAGAGCTCCGGTATGTACCTACCCAGCTGCGCCGCCTACTATCTACCGGAGTTCGGCGCCGTGTCGTCGTACCTCTCGCCTCAGAGCCCGGCGCCCCGCCGGATGGCCTACCCGTTCCCGGGAGCTCTCCCCCCGGCGCCGGGGGCTAGGGACCCGGCCCCGTTCGGCTCCGCGGAAGCGCCGCTGGGCTGGCGGACAGGAAGGGTGTCTTACCCGTACGCGGCGCCGGGGGAACCGGCGGAGAGAGACGGCCTCCCGCCGCCTCCTCCTGCCCCCCAACAGCCACCCCCGACATCCGTCGCCGACCTGCTGCTGGGAGGCGGCGCGGTTTACAGTCAACGGCGCCACCTACTACAACAACAACACCAGCAGCGCCGGCCGAGCCCCGAGCGGGCCGCCGCCGCCGCCCGCCATTTCTACCCGGTGAAAGGCGGCGCCTTGCCTCAGCCGTCGGATGTCTTCTTCGATGCTGCCTATTGCGGGGTTGGGGTAATAGGAGAAGGAGGAGGAGGAGGATTAGCGAGTTTCCACAATCAACAACAACAACAACAACAACAACTGCTGCAGGCGGCGAGAGAGGCCGAGCCAGTCCCCGGAGGGAAGACAAAACCGGCCGAAGACCCGAGGCAGGAGCCCGGAGCCGTCCCGCACTCCAGGCTCGATCAGCAGCGGGGAGGGGTGGCCGTTCTCTCAGGTCTCACAACCGGAAAGATCTTCAGTAATTCCAGTAGGTGAACGTCTTTTTTGTAGCGCGCATGTGTGGGTTTCTGTCTGTG